AGTGGAATCCCAATAGTATCTGTAAAAGCATAGAGGGCGAAAACTTAGTCACGTGGGTGTCTTAGAGAGTGGATCACCGCCCGGGGTCGAAGGCTAAGGCAAATGCGCAGAAGATATCAGAGAAATTCTCTTTTTCTTAGCTCAGGGTGCGCCTGGTCCCAGAGAGCCCCACCCGTCCCCGATCTTTGTATTTATTTCAATATATTGCAAATAAAAACGCATCTGATCTCTTAGCTATAAATGATAAAATTTTTAGCGAAATTTTGACGAAAGAAAAATCTCACCAATGATGGCTGAATCAAGATCAGCAAATTAATAGACATTAGAGTTGCCATATTTGTTCCATGTTTTGCGACGATCGTAGTATCTGGGAGCGACAGTTCTGCAGTATTACATTTCGCAAAATCGATCTACAATGAACTTCCAACTCATGATACTGCTCTCTAAGGGTTCAGTGTCACGATCTAAAGTGAACACCCTTCTACGCGTATTCTGCTAGGAGTATCATATGATACTGTTCCCTAAAGGTTCAGTGTCAAGTGATCCTCTACACGTATACTATTAGGAGTGTCATATGATACTGTTCTCTAAGGGCCCAATGTCATGATCTATAGTGAATATCCTTCTACATATATAGCGTTATGAGTGTCATGTGATACTGCATCCTCTGGGCTCAGTGTCAAGTGATCCTCTACATACATGCTGGTATGAGTGTCATATGATACTGATCCATCAAGGCTCAATGTCATCTGATAATTGTACATAAAAATTATTCTGAGTGATGTTATAGAACACATGATACTGCAGGTGTCATACGAAATATAAATATATGTATCATACCATAAATAGTATCACGAATACCAAAAATAAAAAATAAATTCTGACCAATCATTTATTAAATATGTTCGGCTAATACTTTATATTACATATAAAAATAACAGATCACACATTGGAATCTATGTAAATATGATAGGCTAACGCTTTCTATTACATCAAAAAAATAAAGCAGAACATTTATTAGAATCTATGTAGATATGCAATACACAGCGCTTCTATTCAATCAGTCAACATTGGCTCATTTAGTTCTAAATCATCAAATTGATCAAGCCAATTTGGTCGAGAAGAATTTGTTCTAATCCTTTCTTGAATGACCTTTATTTCTTTATCAGTAAATTTCCCAAAAGACGATGGTGAAATTCTCCTAATTCGCTTGATCTCGTCTCTTCCTAAACCTTCTGTTTTAAATATCTTGTAAATATTTTTAGCTGATCGTTTTTTCTTGTTAAAGATATTACGAGTCATCTCAGAGGGGAATTGTTGCCTAATTTCTGCATTAAGCAATATTCGTGCGGTTTGAAGAGGATGAATAGAGGTAAATTCGGCCAATTTCTTCTCCAATGCTTCCCCAAGAGGATAATGAAAGTCAAGGATTTCGTATTCCACGCGGGATACTTCACGTGTTTTTTTATTAAGAATCTTCTCAGCATGAAGTATTTTATTGTGTAATCCAACGAATATCATTTCAGGAGTTATAGGATCTCCCGTTTCCACATCTGACACCTCTGGTAATGGATTGAAGTCTTGTGGTCTATTGGATAACTCTTTAAAAAATTTTTTAACATTGTCATCTTCTCTAGGATTTAGCTTTGCATCATCATCATCACCAAGATAAATAAGATGTTGACAACAAGGACATGTCATATCTTTTTTTAAGGAAATAATAATACACCTAAGATGGAAGCTATGAAGA